AAAGAAAACGTCCTGTATCTAGTACTCGTGGTACGCTTATACGTTACTGTAATATGGTTTCGGTATTGATCTATTTACGGTTCAATAAACAACAACTTATTTATCCCCGTCAAATAAAGGTGAACTTTCCGTACATGTTTTTTTTTTTTTTTTTCCGGAGTCATTTTACTATTTTACTTCTGTACCACGCGTAAGAACTGATTGTTATTTTTGAAGATTCAAACGAGATGGTTTTAACGCGAACATCCATGATATCAAACTTCTCTCACTTCTGAGAAATGATACGAAAATCGGTCGGACTAATTTTCATGGTCTAAACTAATAGCCGATAGAACGCGAAACTATGTTTGTCGATAAATTTCGTAGCTACGGAACAATAAAATATAATCGCTCGTTTTTTCCTAAGACAAAATGATGTAAAACAATGTAAAACCACCAACCGTTATTCAATACAAGTTTTATTAATTTAGTTGTTATATTCCGTAGAATTTGATTATGTATTTTAATGCGTACAAATTATTTTTATTATACACCATTAAAACTAAAATTACAACGGAACGTATTTAAATCTACATTTCCATCGTATTTATTTTCCATATAAATTCCACTTGATATGTTAATGTACTTACAAGATTATATAATAATAATGTAATAAATTATATATACATAAAAGTCTATTATCAAAGCTCAAATTAGGTAGCCGTTTAATTTGGTATATATTAGTGAACGTATTAAAATAAACAGTAGCAAGTTTATTATTAAATATTAAACAGCTTACACGTATATTAAAATAAACAACTTTTTATTATTATATTATTATATACACACCGTAGTCGAGTAAAGCACGTTCAAAAAATTACATCAGCTTATGAAATATGAATAACGTTAAAATAACAATACCGTTGTATGCTAACCGTATATTTTACTCATAAATAATTTATTATTTAGCACTAATACATATGTACGACTGTAGAATATATTTTCCTTACTGTAATAGTTTTACTTTTATAAAATATAAATTTGTGTATTTCGACCAAAACGAAAAATTTTTATTATTTAACAGAAAAAAGTAGACTTAAGTTATTATATTTCAGAACGCCTTACATTTTACACGCAAGGTTGTATAGAATGGTTAACAAGATTAATCGGTCTGTGTAACTATAATTGGCGTATGCGAATAACACGTGTATTAGAATGACTAGTTTTCTAATATGATATAAATAAATTTATTTGTATTGATTTTCTCAATTATTTAAATAATATATTTTTAGCTGTTATGTTCCAGTTTTGGTATGTAATAAATTAATTTGCAAATACAATTTGATCGCAAACGAAATCGTCTAAACAAACACTAGTTAAAAGTATTATAAAGTTTTATTATACAGAAACCAGTAAAAATTGACTTATTTATACATTGATTTATTGTTGTAGAAAGAAGTATACAAAGGATGAGTAAAATTTTTTTACGCATAACGTTATAATAAATTATATTATGGATGGCATTCTGTGATTATTTTTTTTTTTTTTTTTATCGCCAAATTAAGAAATTCATTGAAAAATCAATCGCTTTAAATGAAATATTTAACTGGCAACTATAACTTTTGACAAACTTTAAACAGACCATTTAAAAAGTTAAAATTACGTCATTGGTAATGTACCGGCTCCTACACAGTAATGATAAATTAATAATTACTAACACTATAGGATGTGAATATTTTTATCTTTTGCTTCTGATTCGAACACTACTCAATGAGTAAAAGTTTTTATCGTGTACAATAATTTTGTTTGTGCATTTTTTTATAATAATATTAAGATTTTCGAGCGATTCAAATTTGTGTAAGCTTTTAGAAACAATGCTAAACATTGAAATATTCGACAACGTAGTTCTCGCTTTAGACCCACTATCGATTTTAACGTTAACCGCGAGTATAAAAGAATTATTATTACTATGCTAACGTAAAAACGAATATATTGATCGAGTATTTGGTACCGTGCTGCTGCAACCGTATTATATGTTTTCGGATAACGTACAGTTGTTCGTAAACTCTGACGGTTCGAATAAGTTTTTCGTTAAAACATTTCCAAGTGTTCGAAGATTGTCAATAACCGTGTCTGAAACGGTGCTTACGGCAAAAACCCCATCTGCATTTCTGCACTAGGACGTTCGAGTTCGTTCGAAAGACACATGCACGCCTAAACCATTAATCTTCACCGTTGCGCCACGCGAACGGATATATTTAGAGAGGAGGAAAAAAAATAGCGGACGGATTTGTACAGAACGCGAGCAAATCCGATTCATTCGACAGTATTTCGATATTATGGTTGTATCGTTCGTATAATCGTCGTCCCTGTGGTCGATCGACGGAACGCTCGGAAGACGTTCTCGAGCACAGCGACGACGGACAGCCCTGAAGCCAGATTTCGACCGTGCCCGTGCAGACTCTCTCGAACGATCCGACGAGTGCCCGTCGTCAACTGCATTGCCATATCCGCATGTACGCTGAGGTGAAACTAGGAATTTTTGCACCCGGGGAAAATGTTAAAATTGCACCCTATCACTGTCCAATAATCAAATACTCTTCTCGAGAATTTTTCACTTAAACTTATTGAGTTTTAACCTAATATGTTATCAGTGTTTAGCAAAGCTAAAAATATCAAATTAGTTGTTAATAATTACAAAAATTATACCCTCTAAAATGTTACGCCTGGAGACGAATGCCCGTCTTCCATCCCCTAGTTCCTGCATGTACGTACATGTTTAATTGTGGAACGGATCTACGCGAACGGCCATCCGATCGGACGTACTGACCCATTCGAACGCGTGTGTCGTTGACGTTCTTCGAGATGATAATAAAACTCTTCCGAACAATCGTACGGGCGCGTCAACGGTTACTCGTGTGTAACCTCTTACTCTTGGGTACTCTTGGGGCTCCCTCTCCGCCGTGAAGATACCGCGTTGATTAATGGTGACAAACGATTACAATGGAAATCACGTTTTATTGTTTGCGATCAGATTTCAGCGCTTTCGTTGCACAAAAGTCGCGTCCTTTGATCCGAACAGCGTATTGCATGTGCACAAAGTCTCGTTGCGCAGTTTTAATTAGCATAGGCTTGCGGTTTTCGTTTCTAAAAACAACAAAAAAACCGAAAAATATAACAACAATAAAAGACTAACGTATGGTAAAACAAGAACAAAAACCATATAACAATGAGCGCAGTTAGTAATTTTTTTTTTGTCTTTAACCGTGAAAACACCTATTCGTGTATAGAATTAAAACGGTAGACAATGAATGAAGAATATTATCCCCGTTCTAATGTATTTAATTGTGTACTGATCGCTATTAATTACTCGTGTGCATAAAAGCACAATATCGTATTAAAAACTAATAATATCAATGCGCTTTATAAATTTGTTTTCAACTCGATTGTAATTCTACAAAGACCCAAAGAATCGTTCGTTAAGTATATGTGAATTAAATTTACATCTCAAGTACCTATACATATATAGTAAAATATGTTAAAAAAAAACTTTTAAAAATATATATATATATATTATTATACCGACAAAAACTTTTTCGATTGTACAAAACTCTATTATGTACTACGAACAGCATTTTATGGAACCACCCACTGTTGTTGTTGCAAACGTGAAAACTACACGTCCACTCTTTCCAAAACTCGATGAGTGGTAATGCATTGTGTAAACCACAATGGATGTGCATCACCTTTCTCCCTCACTGTTTCCTCCGTATGGGCGTTTAAATGATTTAATTAACTATTATCCACACCGATATTCGCCAATAAAAATATACGCACGCGATCGCCGGACATCCTGCGGAGTTTCGTCAGACTTTCGTATAAAAGCTTCGTGAAATTCGTAAAATGTTTAACAATATTACGCGCACCAACTATTGTCTTTTCAGCGAGATTGCGTTTCGCGCTGAACTGCGTAGTAGACCGTGTACAATGCAAACATATTATACGCATGTCGTTTATCAATATATAAATTACACAAGTACTATGTTTGCACGACAATATGATGATGGATATCGTATTTTACAAGTACACACTGTTACCTAATAATTATTGTTTTCGTCCAAAATAAAACAATACGTACTACGCGCACAGACTTACATCCACCCCTCCGCGGAATTTCATCGTACCTGCTCGTAAATCGTAATTCTTTGCAGTTACATTTTAAACTAAAATATGCTCTTCGTTTGAAATTATTTTTAAAAATATAAATTTATCCACTCAAAGCTTCGCGCTCATTCAAATCCTTTAACTAAAAATATGTCCTCTATCTCAATCATTCCTAGAGTGTTAAAAAGAAAATGGCCAAGAGATCTGCTCGATGCCTAAAAAAGAAAAACGGTCAACTAAGAAAAAAATATTAAAAGATTAAAACCCTAATTTCTTGTCAGGTGGCATTGCTGGGATCCTTCCTTTTCTATAATTAATATTATTTTAAGTTTTTAAGTCATCACACTTACTCATTATACCTTGTTGTATAGATTGTAAGTATACTACTTTTAATAAAAAAAAAATATAGTGTTTTTTTTTTCTTTATCTTTAGTATGAATGGAAATGTAATTACAAATTATCTATCATCGCAAAAGGTTATAATCTTGAGTGGAGGGAATGCAATTTCTTAGACACAATTACTCTAAAAAAAAAAAAAAAAATCAATCAATCTGACCCATTCTGCTGGGTACTGTACAATGATATAGTGCGTGAAACCGCTAATGTGCTCTAAGTACAGTATTGTATACGACATTATATAAAACGTCGTGTTAACGCTATAATTATTATAATAACGTGTACAATATGGTACCTCGATCAAACGGGAACCGTACACACTAATACGGGTGTACGCGTAAATACTATATATATATATATATATAAATATTTATGGAACACCGTTAAAATGTTTATGTAATTATTGTGCACAAGAAGCAAACGTCCGTAGAACTAATTTATTCGTGTTAATGCGTTCACAGGGTAGGTGTAACCGAGAGAAACCGCCGTGCAAATATTTTCATCCACCGCAACATCTCAAGGACCAGCTGTTGATAAATGGGCGTAACCACTTGGCCCTAAAGAATGCATTAATGCAGCAAATGACTATGGCTGCTAGTCAACAGATAGTGCCGGGGCAAGTTCCTACAGCAGTGGTAAGTTCATTAAACTTGTACTACACAGTGCAATATATATTATTTATTACGTTGAAACAATCAAGTTCCGAGCATATAAGTAATTGCATCTAAAACACTCGAATTAATTTAAACGGGTAAACGTACCATAAATGCGTACGACCTACTTCCATGACCACGACTGTACACGTGTTCGGACGATGATACATTTCCACTCTGTACGCATGACCTATGATACTTACTGGTAAACAGTGACTCTTGAAAGAGCTTAATAAAACCTATTCGACGAGTGCACAATAGTCATGATTCGGATAACATATAATCTGTTATTATACGAAATAAAACTTAAAAATTCCTATAAGCTTTTACGGTTCAATAAGTACTTTTGCTATTTCCGCCATATTCTTTCATCTAACTTTATTATCCGTACTGTTTACCATTGTCACTTTCTGTACACACCTGTTTAGATCATGCTTAAGCCTGTTTACCCATCGCTGCCTAGGGTGATCCCTAGGTCTGTTTACGTCTATTTTTTCTACCGAAACTTTCTTTAAGATTCCCGTACGACCACCCGACATCAATTTTTGTATATCTATATAAATTCACTATACATAATACGCATCATCTTCAAATGGAAATCAGTACATTTTTAATCGATTCATTTGACAATCTTGGTTTAGTGTTGCATCGATGCGTGGTAATATAACGTTAAGCACCTCAGTGACGACGTAGGTTCCTGTTCTGACTTTGGATTTCGGTTACAATAGAAACGTAGGAACGCGCGCTCGTATATACAATAGACCAGTGTATTAACGTTGCGCGTTTACATATTGTTGGTGATATACAATACATCTTATTCGTTCATTTTTACATTACTCGATTTTCTTACAATAACGTACACACGTACAGATGTGCGTAAGACTCCGTTTACCTTAGTTTAAGATGTACGATGAAGATTTGTTAACGTAAACACGGGTTGCCGTATTAAAGGACTCTTTGTGGACGCGTCATTATGTTTCATACACCAAATACGAAACGACGAGACATGCAAATCACTGGTACGTATTTCATTTTTGAAATCCGTAACTGCGAAATACCGTCGCAAATGTGGCGCAGGAATTATTGTCATGTTTGGTACCTGCACCGCCGTCAAGGCGCCCGTTACGCGTTAGAAATCCAAACGTTTGACGGGAGATTATATTTTTGACGAATAAATTATAAAAACTGATCCGCACTACGCGAACCGAAACCTAACGCGACATAATATTATGACATTATATGTTCCGTCCTGGTCGCGAGCTGCTCGAAACGCCGAAACACATCAGTATAATAGAACCTAAGGATCTTAAAAACGAAACATGGAAATCGTCGCTCCTGCGACGGACGTAGGAAACGACTTTCCCGCGAAAATACAGAAGACCCCATCATTCTCGGGTGTACCTCGCGAATCCGCATACACCGACCCAGGCTTAAAAAACCTTCCCCTTTAACGTTTCTCCCGAAAGTTCACTACAACGGTCGACTGTCTAGCCATTATATTCACTCTTGTAAAAAAAAAAAAAAAATTAAAAACCCGTGAACAATAGAATTTTTGAAAAATATTTCTTTTATTTCATGATCGTGAACTATTTCGTCGACTCTACCTGACAGTACTCGTGTTGAGTTTAATCGATTCAATCGTACATTTGATGTATATATTATTGTGCAAGTCGTCCGTGCGATTTCAAGCCCTGACGACAGCTCATGTGTAAGCGCAATGTTGATTTTTACGGCGAATAATAATTATTCGTAATAGTAATTATTACTGCAAGCCAACGAACGCGAGATTTGCTCGCCCTTATCGCAACAAACGACCACGATTACGTAATTTTTTTTTACCGATTTATTTTCTCCGGCACGATACGGCGGTGGATTGGTACACGGCACACGCGCTTCCCGTGAACTCTTCTGTTCGCGACGTGTTGAAAACATCGTTTTTTGTGTCCGCGCCGACATCGATCCGTATGAAACGAATCGCATTCATGAACGCGCAGCTTCAGGACAATGTTTCGTTTTCATGTTGTCGAACAACACCTCGTCGGCAATATTATTTCATATCAAAACCGTCGAAATGTTCGGCGCACGTCGAAATCCGACGAACAACTTCGTGTGCTCCGCGAAGTTTTCAGCCGTTCGCCGGAAAAACGGTGCGATTGCCCAGTTCGCCGGCACCCTTTGTCGGACGATTAAATCGAAAACGCACAAAAGAAACGAAGTAGAAAAATTACAATTTAAAAAAAAAAACCCCAAACACTTACCATCAAGTACGTTAAGTAAATATTTACTCTAAACAAAGAGCGTGTTTCACTGCAACGATGTATTCAGTAAGATTAATATCGGTTATTATCTCTACTGCAAGGTAATCTTTATTTTTATTTTATTTTTTTACTACACTTTTAACCGCTTCATAACGATGAAAAAAAAAACGTATGATTTAAAAAAGGCTTTGCGAGTAGTACCCACGCTGAGAAATTAAATATTGCTAACAGCTAAATCACAGCGAGTTGAAAACCTTGTATGATCGACGCATCGAATTTAGAGTGTAACAATAATAATTATTTAGCAGTCAACAAAACCGTTGTCAACATTGTGTTCGTATACGCACACATATATTATATTATTATACGCGTACTGTAGCCTTTCTTTTTAAACGGATTTTAAGCTCAACTCATAATCAGTAATTATAATTTCTAGCATTTGCATACATTTTTTAAATGTTCTAGAGATACCTGTGTAAGAGCTATAAACTTTATTCGGAAAACCTATTAGGTAAATACGAAATTTTACGTTGCATATTTTTGCATATTTCGAAATTTGAGTGCTATTTTTATTTTTTGTGTACCATGGCGTTTTTTCTTTATAATAAGAATAATTTAATCTTATCTTGAACATCACAAAACTATCGACATCGAGAGTAAATTTGTTGCTAACTTTGAAGCAGATTACCGAGCGAACAATATTTGGTATATTTTTAGTGCACATTTAAGCGCTTATATGTATTTTTATGAGAGCATACTATTGCGCTCACTATAACTTTTTTTTAGAACTACAAGTTATGAGCCTAGGTAATAATCAAATCGATGAATATAATCGTTAATCGTTATTTTTTGATTTGTTATTGTTCTCCACATGTTGCATATGATATGCTGTTAAAAAAAAAAAAAACGGTATAGGGGTTCAGTCCCTACGGCTCACTTCTCAATAAATTTTCATATCCCTCCATATTAAAAAAATCCTAAAAACGAATCTCTCGAATACCATATGCCACGGACGAATTGTTTCTCGTCGCCACTGATCGCGTCACGTAGGTATTATTATTACACGAAATAGACGCATTCATTCATCCATAACTCCTACGTCGCGCCCTCGTACAATAAATCCGAACAATCCGATGTTCATCCGTTTCTTTTCACGTTTTCCATTTTACGGAGCGCATCCGTTTCTAATTAAGTAAAAAAAAAAAATTGTTGTGCCGGTACACGAATAATGATTGCATGCCGCTCGAAATCACCGGTTTTGGAATGTACGGTAAATTTGTATGCGCGTTGGAGAGACAATGCTCGATAATTTACGTCCACGTCCACGTGTCTAGTGGCGACACACGACCTTTTAATTTAAGCAACACGTTTTCTGCGCGCGATTTACAGTACAAGTATTAATTATTTTCAGTGTCGAGTACTCGGAATGTGCGTGCATAATGTGCATCCTATACGCTGTGCACACAAACCCACACAAACACACACACACACACATATTATGCACACCCGCATCGCTTTCGGTATTAAGTCAGCATCATAAATTCAAATCGTACCTTCGTTGGGTTATAATTAAAGTTAAGATGTTGATGACCTAAAAAAACACACAAAAATTCCTTAAAAAAAATGCAAAAATGCCCTAAAAACTTCAAAAAATTACATTAAAAACTTAAAAATGATCTAAAACACTAATTAAGTAAGTACAAAAAATGTATTTATCATAATAATTTTTATTAGAGATACGGGTGTGATAATGGGTGTAATAGTAATTTAAAATATGAATTATAAATTATCATATTAATAAAGAATAATGCACATTTTAAGCATTATATAAAATTATTAACATTCGCTCTAAAATCTAAAATTTGAGAAAAATGCCCCAGATTGTACAAAAACTACAAAAAAATGACCTAAAAAATGAATAAATGACTTAAAAATGTTGAAAAATGACGTTAAACAACAAAAAAATGCATTCGTATAGCGAAAAATGCCTAAAAATGAAAAATAAAATTAAAATATTCTGCATCAAGGGAGAACGAAACAAAATTTTAACTAGGATAGCATTGTATAGAATCAAAGGGAAAAAAATGCAAAAGTCATTACATCCTAACTCTAATTATAATACTATTATCGCCAGTAAACGTAATTTTAGTGTACAGCGGTACATTATTACGTTGGAACCGTTATAAATTATAATAAATCATAAAATCGTATCTCCAACCGTTGCCTATACGCTAAACATAGTGGTTCACGAAGCAAATTCAAAAATGTTGACCTAACATTTTCTGGTGAAAAAAAAAAAAAATAATGAACAATAAAACGTTGAAATACACGATTGATTGAAAATTATTAATTCATATCATTAATATTAATAATTATTAATCCCAATGCACCGTTATACGTTATTCGCGTCGATAATATTCGAACGTTCGCGTGGATATCTATAAAATCGTCACATTTCATAACCCTTTCCCTTACTTCCCCGCTAAACGTGATTATGTGAATCCGATGGCACTGAAATACGAATCACTGAACGAATGAATATATGTTTTCTATTTTCGCAGGCCACGCCGACAGCATATTTGACCGGGATCCCTGGCGGAAGCACTCAGGTGGGCAACACTTACACGCCATACTTCAGCGCTGCCGGACCGTTGATCGGACCGACCACAATAATCACGTCCGATCCGAACAATCCACTGGCCATGGCCGTGCAGCAGACAATGGTTACACAACAGAAAATGCCTAGGAATGACCGTCTAGACGTTAGTAGAAAAAATAATTACATTTCATCTAGTTCATCTGTTCATATAACGAGTACCAATAGTTTGTATCTTTTTTTTCCTTTTTTATCGTCCCTTCAATAAAGCATGACTGGGTCGATAAATGCAGATTATTTTTCGAATTTTTTTCATTCATTTATTTTATCTTTTTAACGGATATTTGCCCATACTAACAAGTGGCACTAATCTCGTAATTTTTATAATTATTATTATACTTAACGTTCCACAGTAGTTTTCACCCGTTATTTTTTGATTGTCATAGAATAACTCAGTGGCGTGGATACGGAATTTCTTTTGAGGAATTTATGTTTTTCAGTTAATATCAAAGCTCGGGGACTTGGTACGTTTAAAGTTGTTAAAATACGAGTATGTGCATATGTGAGCGCTTAAAAACACCAGAGTATGCACTTAAATATTCTTTTTTAATAATTTTACATACTTATGTTTTATTTTGAAAAAAAAACAATCGATACAAATGCAATTAAACTAAACTATGAAAAACAAAAAATTTGAAATTCGAAACTGAATTTTTTAAATTTTAATCATTTAACTATTTTACAATAGCCTTAACAATATTGATATAAGTTTTAATTAGTATAAAAGTATTATAATGACATTTTTCTTTCGTCATACTCGTATAAATGGCAATGTGAATTCACTGAAAGTAATACGTATATTCAAAGTATCTAAGCAATAAAAATAAAAAAAACTGCAATCATTAAGAAATTCTCGTTGTGCATCGATTCGAGTTTATTACAACAGTTTTAATATTTTTGGGCATGCACGAAAACCCACATACTAATTTTATTCTACTCCGATGTAGTTATTGCCTACCAATACAGAAAATTGTATAATTTCGAAAAAATGTATTATATTATGGTACTTCGAAGTAGAGGTGTTTAATAATATTTTTCTTAAGTAGAAGTTCAACCATTAGGTACTTGGGGTACTTTGTAGTAGAGGTGTTTAACATTATTTTTTTTTAAGTAGAAATGTCAACCATTAGGTACTTGACTGTATATATGCAATTATATAGCTGTCATAACCAGTTGGCGATGAAATATATTATGAATAACTTAACAATAATAATTATATTATAATAAATGTTATACTACTTATTTTTAATTACGAACATATTTTTCCATTATAAATCTTGATCTAATTATAATTACATATTCTGATCACGATTCGTTTTATTTTGATCTCGAGACTACTTTTATTTTACCGCAATAAAATCGCCATGGCATGGCATAAACTATTTTTCTTGAGCTTTTGTGGGGAGAGAAAGGGATTGCACCCTCTTATTATTCGTATCCACATCACTAGTGTAACATAAGATGCGTTTAAATAACATAATTAGACTAATTTACGTCATGCGTTGAACATGATTTATTTTGTTAATTTATTTTTACACGTACGTATTTTTACATCATCGTAGATTTGTATGATACAGTTGGTGAATTTAAATTTCTATTGCTTTTCCGTAGCAAATCGCATTGCCGTTAAAGCAACAAAAGTTATTAATTAGCGCACACTTTTTTTCTTATACATTTATATATTTATGTATATTTACTATTATACTATTGTATTATTATATTGTTATTGAAACTACTGTGTGGTATTTTAATCTAATAGGTTTAACTTCGATAAGTATCATGAGATAATACGAAACACAATAGGACAATTTCGATTACATCATTTGTTAACACTTATATTCGCAATTTAACAATATCTAATAAGAATCATGACTCAACCTCGTTACACGAATACAGTTTGACGATTTGATAATTCCAACCTTGTATTATTAAAACAGCTCTAAACCAAATTGCACCAGGATACATTTTCTTCAATAATCGAGTTTATGCACTTTTTCTCTAAAGTCCTGACCATACACCAATATATTATTTTTTTCGATTTCTACCCGTCTTTGTTAAAACAGAGTTGGCTATTAATTTTCAAACTGTGATTGATCAATAGAGTTATCGAGGAATTCATAGTTAAATGTCGGAATCCATAATACATTTAAACCGTTAACGTTGAATGTGCATTGTGCACCATGCTTGCACCAATAGAGAACTCAATTAATACTTATCAAAATATTCTCGTAGATATTAATACTTACCTAATTAATAAAATTAAACGAAATCCAGCGATTAGAGAAATACATGTGGGTATAATAAAACTATATAAAATATGATTAAAGAATATCATACAATTTTGAAATTATGAAAAAATAAAAAATAAAATTACAAAATTTTGCTTGACTTCAGTTCCGTTCAATTTAAAAAAAAAAAAAAAACACTTAATTTCACAACAATTGATCGATATTTTTCTCATCAAATAACTTGGATGACATCATTAATATGCATTTCCGGTTGAACGCACCAATTCGACTAAATTAAATTTACCCAATGATCCTGAAATTTATTTCCGTCACTTTAATTATTTTATATTTCAATATCATAATTAATTTATAAGCTTTGACATTCAAACAGATTTGAAGTTTGAAAAATAATAGTAACGGAAAAAAAAAAGAAAGTCATTATAAAATATAGTATCAATCACATGGTGTAAACTTTAAGCTATAGGTTAGTCCAAAATCGATTTGTTTCAATTTTTTTTTTTTTCTGTGACCATTAACAATAGTATACACATATATATGTAAACAATAATATAGTATCACAAGAGAATTGTACAGGGTGTTCCTGAAATGGTTGTGAAAACTAGTACACGAGTTCTCTCTGGAGTGGCCAAATTAAGAATGTTTTGAATTTTTTTTTTCCCATCCTCAAAATCTGGATTTTATCTATTTATCTTTAAAAAATTATTTTGAATCTAAAAATGAACGCTTTTAAGATATTTTTTACAAAATTCTCTCACGAATCGATATGTAACTTCGATCTTGGCATTTAGCTCGTCGCGTGTTTTTCACACTTGAGTCATCAGTATCAAAAGATGTGATGTGACTTTTGCATGAGAACTTTACACAATAAGTAAAAGTGAAATTAATTTGTTGTTAATTCATATAACTGATTAATTAACACGGGTTTTATTGTAAAATAATCATAATTAATCAACATTTATTTGAAATTCATTGACACCACGTCTTTTGATTTTGTCGACTCGAGCGTGAAAAACGCACGACAAGACTAAAACCGATGTTACATATCGATTCACCTGAGAAATTTGAAAGAAATATCTTACAAGTACTGATTCATTTTTAAATTCGAAATAATGTTCTAAAGATAATTGAATAAAACCCTGATTTTGAAGATAGAAAAAAAATGTCAAAACATTCTTCATTTGACCGCTCCGGAGAGTACGCGTATACTAGTTTTCTCGACCATTTCAGGAACACTCTGTATATGTTCTAAAATGACACGCATAACAATACATAATATGCAGCTGAAACCCATACGGTGAATGGAAAATATTGAAAATCGAGTCGATGCAAAATAATCCTATTAATTATTACAAGACTTACAACGTGGGTACCTATAATTTATTTAAAGCGTAGCGAAAATGATTATCGTGACCTGCACAACGTAACTAGATTATTGAATAAATTGTTCCGGGTATATGATAACACAGTGAATCGCTTAAATAATAACGACCGGCCGTACATAATAGTTCACAGTGTACACCTATTTAGCGTAATCGATATTTAGACGACGGGGAGGGGAAAAGGCTTGTAGAAATTGCAAACGCTAATCACGTTTTAAAATCCCATGAAATATAACACGGTGCCTACAATTTGTAAATTGAAGCCGATACAGTGGTGCGTGCAGCTACTTACATTTTATGGGTATTGTACAGTCACACAGTTGCAACACCCTCTGAATACCGACAGACTCGGTCCGGCTTATTTACGTGACCCCGCAGGATGCTGACTCAACGTGTAATATACAACCCACCAATTTATTTTGGCATTAGTAACTTTTTCTTTTCGTAATGTTCAAATAGACACAGGAGGGTCTCGGATCCGTTTCTCGGGCTAAACCCGGGCAAACAGCAAACATATTATCATTGTGCTTTTACCAACCCAAAATCCTCTTGCCGCAATGCCGAAGTGCTAACAGCCATACAAGTAATTAATCGAAAAACCACCCCGCTTTGAAATCCAGATCTTCTTATTATTTTTCTTTTTCGAAATTTCTCGATGAGATTCCATTCCATTTGGTCGGCTTACGGCGGTCTTATCCAGAGATCTTCTGATCGCCATCAGTTCCGATAAAGATTGTCGTCGGGTTATTTAATTATACTTCGCATTTTAAAACGTTCAAAACACAGAGTTGTACACGATTTGTTCACTATTTCGAGGTACGGAAAATCAGCTCCGAGCCACTGTTGGATTCAGTTTTCATTTGCCGTCTGAAAAAAATAAAAAATATGCTCCACAAACCCCGCGCTTAGGGACTTGGGATTCTTTTATATTCATCGTCGCCGCGTACCGTTGCAGTCGAGGGCGATAACAATATCCCGGCTTGCACCTCACCAACCGTCGTCACAACTAAGACTGTGACTGACTGCCCGAGAACGCCGAGGCTGACGGCAAGGAAGTGTTGCGAAACCGCCGAGTCATGGCACGCGTCAACATTTTTTCGGTCGCAGTGGTAAACTCGACGCGCACTCGTTCGCCTGGAGTCCGAGCGACCGCAGGCGTTCTGCTCCGTCGCCAACGTATCCGAATCGATTCCCGTCCGACGCGAATCCCGTTTTCGAACAGTCCGAGTACAACCATCGATCACCGTCGTTCACGAACCGCCCGCGGACGTTTGAATTTCGATTCCCGCCGCCCGACCGCATCGGCGTTGCAACCGATAAAATGCGAGCGTACGTCTCTCGTTCGGAAATCGAAGAAAACGGTACAACTGTTGTTGTGCGGCTAAAACATCGTTGCCCCGAAGTTGTAAAAACCACGCGAACAGTGCTTTCCGTACTTCGCCGGCGGCAGGAAAATTCGAAACAAAGGTTTTTAATTCGACATTAATGGTGGTTCGAGAAATCAGGAAGTTTGGCGTTATCGGAGAAAAAAATTAACACGCTTCGGAAACTTTACGCCGATGATATTTCAGAACATGACTGATCGCCCCGAGTGTTGGAGAAGTCCCGTTCCGCTGATTTATGTTTCACGTACAACAAACGGGGCACGGAGTACCGCGCACGTACGTTACCGGTCGTCCTGCGAACGAAACACGTGCTCAGGATCGCACGCGTCATACAGTTCGGAAAATGCGCAAATTTCGCGCGGATCGCGAGTGCCGCGTACATACACGTGTAACGAGAGATTTATACGGTCGACTCTCGGTAACTCGAAGTTTGAGGGGGAAAATAAATTCGTCTCGCTGAACATTTCGAGTTATCAAAAAATTTTAAAAAGTATGTTTTTATTTTTAAATAATTTTTACATTAAAGAAATAAAAAAAAAATGTTTTCTTACGTTCCTACTTACATGTTATTATTTTTAAAGAATCGGTGTGAAGTTAATTTTTTTTTGTTTATTTAATGCATTGTTTACAATTCTATTTTCTAAAATAACTAGTGGTTTAAGTAAATCTTCCATACTTTCATTGCCTTCGGTATATCTACGTAATGTTTCAAGTGTAAGTGTCGCTTCTTTATTTGCAATGATGGATTGTATTTGTTGGGCTTCAAATTCTTCTTCGTTATCTTCGTCCGATGTATTGGAGATAATATCGTTCTCGGTCTGTTCTCCAAAAATCTACAAAATGTTCATCAACATGGACGCATGATGTACAATTTCATTAAGATTTATTTTCTCAGTTAATTGATCCCGTTCATCGTTATTATCATCAAAATGTTCACAAGGAATATTTTCAGTCAAAATTCTAAAACCTGATTTTGTAAAATAGTGTACGATCGTTTCTTTTTTTACGCGTTGTTTACATTACAAGTCACAAGCGAAAAATAATCGCCTCGATAAACAATTTTCAATATTAAATTTGGATAAGAAAATTCGAGATATCTTGTCGAATAAATTTTCGAGTTGACAAGATCATGTAAACATTAAATGTTATTGTTATTCGAAGGGGAATTTGAATTTTTCGAAATATCGAGAATCTCGAGTTACCGAGAGTCGAGTGTACATATTGTATTACGTACGCGTACGGCTGACGGTCGCGTTTGAAATGAACCGCGTAAACATTGAGGGCGGCGTTTTGACGGGCTGAAGAACGGCCGACGCGGGGACGGTGCGGCCAACCGCTGTTGAGCTGTTCGAAAGAAATGCGTCCAAACGCGGCCGTTTCGGGTTAAGAACGCTGCGATGGCCGAGAGAAAGAGTTAAAACTATAATACGTACACGGGACCGCGCGTAACGGGGGGGGGGGGGAAAGAAAAAAATCGTCGACGTCGTCGGGGGTCCCGGTGGAATATATTATACACGAGATGACCGACGACCAATTAACCGGGTTTAATTAAAACGTCATCAGATCCTTTGGCCCCGACGAACAATAACAACGTGCGGGACGGACTTGCATAAATCAAACGAGAACGAACTGAATTATAATTGCTTTTGCACCGTTGGCGCGGCGAGTGCGAGCGGGATTCGGGGAAAGAGATTTCGCTCGGTGCTCGTCCGTAAAAATCAATAAGAACCGTGTACCGCGGAACCGTTATCAAACATTGCCCGGCGCCCTCGTACAGATTTACGTTGGCGCGTTACTGTTTCGACCGGCCGACCGAACAACGTAAAGGTGGCGCGGCGCGGCTCGTGTAAGCGCGGCGCGGCGCGTCCGTTCCCGATGATCGTCGGGTGTTGGTGTCCCGCGTCAAAGGAAAACCGGCGCGGCGCGTTTATTCATGTCCCACCACGTGGTGGCGCGGCTTACGATTTTTCTGTTCGGCACATAATTTCACCACTCGCCGTAACATAATATGCAGCAGCACAAACCTTTAGTTTTAATTTTGTTATCGTAATCACCCCATTGTTGTATGTTCAATTAAACAACAATGAATATGGTGGTAAAAAAAATAAAATTAAACCAAAACACTGCGCAACGCACGAAAAACACAAGCAAGAACAACCCATCGTCCGTTCTCCGAAAGGAAAAGAAACGCAACGATCAATGCGAAGGTTCAAACCGGCACGGAAATTTGCCGCGCCCGGAAACGCGCCGATCCACGCGCCCGTGGGATCGCGTAGAGGCGCGCTCGTTAAGTGGCGCGCGCAGTAGCGCGTGTAGTGACGAAGTTCACGCGCCGCGCCGCGCCACGGGCCGCGGGATCCCACCTTAACGTGCGATATCGGCGCGTGTGCGGATCGATCGATTCGTTTGTACTACGGGCGTAACACGCCGCGTTATCGAACGTTCGCGAGAACGGCCGCGTGACGCGAACGCGTTCGATCGCGCACGTGTTCACCGGCCGTTTCGTCGACCGCGGTCCGACGCGGAAACGGTTTTAATCGCGTACGAGTCCCCGGCAGCCGTGTCAGCATTCTGGGGTCGGTCTCGGCACCGGTTATCGTTTTACCTTTCTGATTGGTCGTGTTTGGTTTTGCCGCGCTTTTTAAAAACTGTTATCTGGTATTACGTGTTATTTAATATTATCGCGTTGCGATGCATATTTACTATTTTTTTTTTTTTTTTTCTATAACGTGCGAATAAAATCAATATTTAAAAGGGTTTTTACTTTTTCTGGGTAGCTTTTTAAGTAAAATATTATAAGTCGAAAAGTTTCTTAAAATGTTTAAATCGGTGGAATTCGACGATTATTCATTTCGTTCTAATACGTTTTCACGCACCAGCTTGTAATAGTATTTTTACCATGAACACTAATCCGGTTACAAATATCTTGTTCGGAAAACGTATTAGAATAAAATGAATTATTATCAGATTCCATTAATTCAAACATTTCAAAAATAATTTTTGACTCATAATATTTTATTTGAAAAGCTACCAAAAAAAAAAATTCAAAAGTAAAAACCCTTTTAAAGATTATTTATATTCATACTTTATAATAGTATCATAAATAATAAATAGGCATTGCAATTTGATAATATTAAATAACACATAATAATACTAGATAACAAGGTTATAGGTAACAGTTTTTAAAAAGCGCGGCCAAACCAAACGACCAATCAGAAAGCTAAAATGATAACCGGTGCCGAGACCCACCCCAGAATGCTAATATGCCCGCGAGAGATCGTCGATTCGTTTCGCGCGATACTGTCACGATCTCTCGTCATCGACACTCGCGCGTTACCGCGGTACCTGTTCCGGCCAGTGCTGTAACCGTTTCTTCCGATTGCGATCACAACATTCAACGTTCAAAATCCAAACTCACCACCGTTCAGACCGATCGGACGCCTACGTTGTCGTTATACGTTTGCGAACCGAATAAATCATTACCTCGCGCAGGTGTATTACACAATAACGTGTAAACCCGAAAAAGTTCAAAATCCTTCTCGTTCATAATTCGCACCAAAGTTTATTCGTTAAATGTTTGATCGTTCCACATATTTGTGTGTGTGTGTGTGTGAAGTTATTCCGACCGTACGTGGAATTCGTACACTACCGCTCGACTTATAATCCTAAAGTTTTCTTAAGCTTTCGAGAATTTCCGACCGCGCTCGGAAGCCATAAATTACAACCGGCCCGTAATAAGATAGCGATTTTAATATTCAAATATCTAACTCATAAATGTTGATTAGCTAAGTGGATTTTGGGAGATACTTTTGATTTATTACGTTAATACATTCGAACGAGCAATTTTCGTACGGTTCGTGTTCTGAAGCTTTTTGAAGAATTACGATTTTAATGCGAATAAAAATTTAACAGTTTTCACTACAACAGACAAACTAATTAAAAGCATTAGATTTGTTTAAAATATTTCATTATAAAATTACAAATGGGAAGACGGTTATTTTCTCCGCTATAAGAATAAAACCCATGACGTGTTTGTTTTCAAAGATATGAGTCGCAATCACAGTTCGGACTCACTCTATACAGTAATTATAATATTAACACATTTTTTTTTTTTTTTTTACTTAAAAAAAACTATTAACTTATCGAGTTGACAGTAAAATTATCCGACACATTGGTTTTTAACAAAAAGTATAGGTACACGTAGTTGAATTTATGGTAGTAAAGGATCTACATCGGAATAGAAAAATATTTTATGTGAATCATTCCTAACTGATGTTTGTCAATTATTTTTTTGGCGGTAAAATATTGAAAATAATGTAATTTACAACACATCATGTTACTCGTGCACTTTCATTGTTTGTGTACAAACTGAACTCGTTGTTATGAGCATTCGAGCTTTGTTCGATAATGCTATAAAACATTTTATTAATGTGGACATATTATATTATTATACCATTTGTTTTGTATTAATAAACACTTATTACCCCATGGATCAATGTTTAAGGTTTATAAATAGTTTATCAACGAGTTATGTGTTTCAGATGGATATGAAAGCCGTTGGAACATTTTATTACGAGAATTTTGTAAGTAAAGAACTTGTAAATACTTACTGTTGATATTTTTAATACAATTTTTAATTTCAAAAAGGCCGGTACTCATTTCGAAATTTCACGTCCCAATATTTGACAAATAGGTTGTATGTATGAACAATAAAAAACAATATAAATCTACCCCGTTAAAAAGAAATGCCATCATCGGCTGATTTCTCATTACTGCAGACACATATTTAATATTACCAGTTATAACAATACACATGTCATTCACATTGAGTTCAACATCAACATACAACCATTTTTGTCATCACCACCAACACGATGACGACTTGTCCGTTTCTCGGTGTGCCTTGTGCATCATAACCGTTTTGGAAATAGATACAATGGAAATGCTGTTGCTTATCGTGCCTTATTTGTTAATTGCTACCATTTGCTTATCTGCTTGCAGCTTACTAACTCGGGAGATGATTTATGTGTTAATGATGTAGTGCGAAAACCACAATAACCACAATAACAACGGTTATTTTCGACCTTAATAAATTAATCTCTCACCGGACGCTTCCACCAGAGATACCTACTCAAATTTTGATAGTTGCGAAAATCGTAATTTTCTGTGTTTAATACGTTAACATTTACGGGGCTTCATAAAGCTTCAAATGTTACATTTATTTAATCGATATTAATACGTTTTGAAATCAATTACGTGTAACAAATAATGGATTCGAGCAACCTACGGTTAAAAATTATTTATGCGTAACCTCCTCATACATGTTTGAACAATTTTTTTTAAAAAAAGTACATGATGTGCTTTAACTTGGTTTCACGATTTGAAAGGTTAAATAAATATGTAGTGTAAGTAAATAGCTAGAATAAAACATATAATTTGTATACTTATACATTTGCTTACATTTATTATATAAAAGCAAATAGAAAACAAAAACAGTGTCATTAAGAACATAATTTAAAGATGATAAGTTCTGCTATTATGCATCTTATTATTGATCCCAAGAATTACTAACATTCATAGAAATTAATAATGGTAAAGACGGAGTGATTTAATAATAATTACAGTAAAACTGGAAAAAGAAAAAGACAATGGCCAACTTAAATTAATTCACTTTATAGTTAAAATTGTCTTTAATAACTAATGAAAAAACAGTCAATATATAAGTAATTTTAAATATTTAAATTATTATCGTTTGTTTGCAAGTATTTAATTTTACTCTTTGGGTATTTGTTCGCGTAAAAATATCTTCTATAATTTATTTAATTTGTGAAAATATTATAATAAAAATAAAATAATAAATTTTAGTCCATTTATATTTGTGTTTGGCTCTCAAAAACCGATCATCAATTATTTTCATTGCTCCAGTTTATACAAGTGCAGTTTATATTACACATATTTGGTAAAAAAAAAAAAATAATAATTTATTTGTAACAATCATTTACTTTAAATCTCAAATAAATTAAGTAAGATGAACTAACTCATGGTAGGTACTTACTTCAAAACTTAAGCTATATGTAAACAATATAAAATTGAATAATTAAAATTAATTAATATAATGATGATATTTTATAAATTTAAATACTTACAAGAACAATTTTCTACATTTTAACTGATTTGAATTGGAATATTTGAAAATTTACGTTTCACAAAAAATGTTCATTCCACTATCAAATTTATAAAAAATTGTCATTCTCATTTTTTTCATAATAATATAATAATTATACATTTAATTTATAAAATAATATAAAAATAAAAAAAAATGTTTTATATACTAGGCGAAATTGTACACTCCATACTTCGCTTTGTTGTATTCTAAATGTACTTTTATAATAATCCTAAAAATTAATGACTGTAAAAACATGAAACATAATATTAGTAAATAAAAAGTTGATACACAGTTTAAAAAAAAAAAAAAAAAACGATATTACATTTATCGTATTAAAATAACATATATATTTATATGTTTAGTTATTTCTATTTGATTTTAATAATATTAACACCATAGAGGAATGCCAAAAAATTTTGCATGCATTTTGTTTTTAATTTCTTCTTCATGTTGTATTACTGAATTTTTAATTTAAGATGTATAGTTGAATGAAAATGTACATTTTTATGTAGTATTTTTATATTGGTACGCAATATAATATGTAGATGAAAGTAAAGTGTGATTAAAATAATCATATATGTAGTTCTTTCTATCCACTTCGATGCCGTTTTTTACACTAAACACTCATAATGTTATTCCCCGAAAAAATATGCAGATTGAGTACAAACGTTGCAAACAATTGTTTACTTACAATAAATGACCTTTAAACTATTATTTTAAATTGGCCTTTTATATATTATGAAACATATAACTGATAATAAAATAATGAAACATAATATATTTGTATACTATATTTCCATTAATCTTTTGCTGTTTTCGATTTATATGTTTATTTATAAGTTCAAAACATTTAGTTAACTAATCAAATATAATTGCTACAATTTAAATTCCGAAAATTAATGGTTTTCATCAAAATGCAATCTGTATTGTGATTTAGTGGTTACTATATTTGGTCATCGCTAGACAATTATATGCTCTTTCGACTAAATTAAATTTGTTCGCTCTGTTTTAACGCATGCACGCACGTCTATCAAAATCTGATCAATCTTAAACGCTTTATGGAATATATTCATATGTATATTTTGCAAACATCATTATAAAAATATTTAAATATAAAAAAACTTTCTAAATTATTTTTTGATTGATTTACTTTCTTCTGGACCAATTTATTAAACGTCAAGTGACAACTTCTGAAAATGAGACATTTATGTCTCAAATACGATCGACCAAAGGAATACAATTCAACACTCATATAAAATACTTTGAACTTATTGTTTACGGTATCTTTTGGGCGGATTTAGAGCCTTCTATAAAATGTACGAAAAGTTCTTTATTTCGTATACTATTTTTACGAACACATATATACTAACATGATTACATAATATTTTTAGGTTGAACGTATACACAAATATTTTCGAGATTCAGGAACTTAATTTTTTTTTTCATTATTCAAATCAAATATTTACCGTTTTTCAGGCATTTCCGGGAATGATGCAGTACAAACGAGCTGCAGGCGACAAATCTGGAATTCCAGTGTTTCAACAAAACTCGGGAGCTTACCAACAATTGCTTCAGCCATTTGTGCCAACAGTATCTTGTGAGTATGATTATTGAATATTTGTGTAAATCATTGAAATGTATTAAATTCATAAACCATGCTAAGATTTAACTACGCAATTCGTTAATATACAGTCATGATCAGGGGTGCATACAAGGGGAGGGGGGGTATGATCCCCCCCCATAGATCTTTTTAAAATTCTATAAAATAGTGTTATTGTAAATTATTATTTTGACACATTCAATATATATATCTTTTATTATTTATTATTGAAATGTGTAGGTATAACTAAGTATACTTAGGTTTAGGAAATTTCCTTCCATAATAATTTTTTTGCAACTGATCCCCTCCATACAAAAGTTATGTATACGCCACTGGTCATGATGGTACATAAGTAAACCACGGGGTAAAGTAACAGGAGTTAGGGAACTCAATCCAAACGAATAGTTCAACGTTCGGAAACTTCTGAAATCCGATATATTAAACGTGAATAAAACTTTATATTATTTGGATCCTTACTGTACTATTCTAGGGAGTAATTTATGTCTCAAAAAGAACAAGTACAATTAGACAGATGACTTACGTGAGAGTGATTCCAACATATCCTCTCGGTGTTAATGGTTTGTTTGATAGTAATCGTTCGTTAAATGTTTTTAAATTAAAGCCTCTTCAAAAATAACTACAGTCACCTACTTAAATGGTTAAATAATATATTATTTGTAGAAAACCTTATATAAACGTTTTTTCAGAAAATCTTATTAAGTTGGGATAGAAGTTGGGATTCAAATATTAAAAATTATTGACAATTTAATTTTCTTCCTTTAGACACCTGTATAATTTATAGACACATGGATTACTCTTGTCCGTTGTATTAATTCGATGTCTATTACGGTTATTATTTATATTTAAAAGTGTCAATAGTATAGCGAGTGAACAAGTATATATATTTGACATTTACGATTTACAACGTTTCGTGCAGTATCATTAACAAACACTGCGAATGAGTTGCCAAAGATAAAAAATAGTTTTTACTAAAATATTGAAAAATTATCAAGAATAAGCTGTAAAATAATTTTTTTTTACTACCACAAAAGTTCAGTATGCTATCAATTAATTAAACAATAGTTATCTGATAACAACAAAAAAACTTTATAAAATAAATGGGTGGTAAAATTATCTTGAAATAGACCAATGCTATTGTGTTGAAAATTGTATTTTTTTTTTAATGTAGTAATTTTTACGTGGTTTTTGGTTTCCCCTCAAAAAAAAAAAAAAAAACATTTTTCATGATATTAAAACAATAAGGGAATTTTTCTGCACTCTATTCGTTTTAAAGAAACCTTACTACAGAAATGCTCAAAATTAGTTAGTACATCAACACTGATGACTGAACTAATGGTTTTTTTTTTTTAAAGAAAAGGTAACCGTCGGTATATAATAACGATCAAATATCTCTGTTAAAAGTAAAACATATCATCATTAATATATAAGGAAGCGTTCTTTTTTCCCAAGTAATTATTTAGCACGTCTACATTTTTTTCTTCGATTACAGTTTAGATGCGTGTAATATACAATTGATATATATATATTTAGTCAATCATAATCCATAAAATAATACTCATTTCTGTTATTAATAGTGTAAATAAATATAATTAGAAATTATAACCAAACATAAAATATCTTTGATTCAATTAAAAACATCTGGAATAAATTAAACACCATTTGATAATTAACAACAGATTCACTTATAAACAGATTTACTCTTTGCTCAGTATATTTTTTTAATTTATAGTTAACGTGTAAATAGTTTAAAAGTTTGGTGTCAAAACTATAATAATAAAATCAAGACAATCAAGCTTAAAACAAACATTTCTCTTAAGAAAATATTTTATATTGAGTTATCAACTAATTTATTAAAAAAAAAAAAAAAAAAAAAGGAAGGGTTGTCAATTATCCTTAAAGTCTATACAAACTCTTCGAGTAAATTACATTTTAACATTAATTTACATTAATTATAATTAAATTATTTTTGTTGGTATAATTTAAAATACAAGATTTAGTTAAATTAATAATTATTACAATTATAATAACATTAGTCAATGAAATTTTGTAATTTAATGCTCCCATAATCACAATTTATACAATATTTATTTAAAAATGTTATAACTCATAAGTAATAATTTATTGGCTGTACTATCATGTATGTTTTCATCATTGATATCTCGTCGCAATAATCCAACCGAACGTGCTATGATACGTTGTTAAATGTATAAAATAAAAATTAATTCACACTAGAGTTTTGATACATTTTGGCACGACAGAACGAGGATAAATCTATGGCGTACACAACTTCTTGTCATACCCTGGAGCATCATATAAACACACAACAATGATTATTTATTTATATACACGTGTGTGTGTGTGTGTGTGTGTGTTTATGTATGTTTATTGGCACATTGGCAAGAAGTTTACAGTTACAATGTTTATCCAAGTCGGCGTATACTTATTTTCACGCGAATCCAAAGTAATTCAATATTTGTTTATTTTGTATTAGTTGCTGCACCGCCGGGCATCCCGAGGTATTAACACGATGACTGCATTTCAAAAATCAACTTATGTTACACCGAACGTCCACCGTAAGTATACAATACATACACAACAACAGTTATACGCAGGCTCCTGCGTTCCGAATAATGTACCTACATGCATTATAATGATTCGAAGTTTTTTTTCCGAAAACGACATTTAAATCGCAACGCGAACAGCACAATATTGTCGTGTCATCCGATAAACGTTCGTAAAACGTTTGAATTGCAATTGCAATAATGTAAGATTGACGAAGATTCTGTGACAATCGTCCAAATAGTATTCAATCGCGGCGACGAGCACTGCATTTACCATTAATCACGCGGTACCCGTTTAACAAATGTAAGTCGAAATCTCATTTCTTCCGTTTCCGCAAGTGTTGCCATCGAACGTTCTGACAAAGTTTTACGTGTACGCATTTTACCATACTTATCGTGCAATCCCATTCAACGTTAAATAATTTTCGTTCAACTCATTTGATTAAAAGTTTGTTAGTTCTGGCTTCTGCTGTTTCCACTTATACGAACACTCGTGCCAACCATAATAACAATCAAATATTATGTTAAGACGTATAATGTCGTCGTCGGGCAGTCAAAGAAAAATAATTGCAATAACTGATTTTTACCACCGAACTTCAATTACCTAATGTGTTTTACTATAATAGTGCTGTTTTAATTTATTTTTCGCAGGGATGTATGGCTGTAACCTTATTTATTTACAAAACCACGTTCGATTCAAGTCATCAATTTAATACACAGTAAAAAAAAAAAAAAAAATTAATTATAGTGTATTGCATTACATATAACTCATAAACACTATTGTAGAATATGAATTGAAAACTATTGAACAATTAAGTTAGATTGTTTAAGTTTCCTTTATCCAATATTTTAAATAGGTCGGAAACTCATGTCAATAATAATTAATTTAATACTAGAGACGAAGCACTTTGTATTTTGTAAACAAAAGTAAACTATTTTACCTAGAGAAAAGTCAAAATATAATAATTGACGTATTTGAATTGTATTCAATCAGATTGGTTACACATTATATATAACACTCGTCATATTATTTAAAGTTATTATAATTCATAATAATATATTACCAATACAAAATATATATAAATAATTATATAAATATTAATATTGTTATTATATTTTAACGCACCACTGAATTTTTTTTTTTTTTTTGTTAATTTTTAATTTTTAATGCTATTTCAATGTAGGAACTATTATAATTATTATTATTAATTATTAATTATTACATATTTAACAATATTTTAGATTAGGTACTTAAAATTAAGATAAGATAAATTTTATAGGTGTAAACTTATTTTACGTACTAATACATAACAATAAACTATGTAACATTGAATATAGAATAGAAAAACAAATTACGACGGACAAGCTATTTATAAAACGAAAAAATAATCATTTGTCTAACGAAATGATAATACAAAAAAAAAAAAAATACACGCAGCGTTCGTACATTTATTTATACGTGTACATATTAAATATTTAAACGTAATAAACTGTTATAAAAACAGAGCTCAACAAATCGAGAACTATGCAACGCCGTTTAACGTGTACACGTGCGTATATTACCAGATTAACCGTGTGAGATTAATTATTTTATGTGTTCAAAATGTTTTTTGGTCAGTACCAATGTTGTTGTAGCGTAAAACGTAATACCTAATCGTACATTTAACGGATAAACGGTCGGCGGGCGGCGGTAGGGATGACGGACGACACACGGAGACGATCGCGTACGCGCGCACATCTGAGAACAATAACTGTTGTCCGGACGGTTTCGATCGGGACGTTTGTCCGAACTTTGCGTTGCACAAACACCGAAGGGTGGAGGGACGCACCCAGCAATATCTCCTAGTGACACCACGATATTGTATCGTGTAAATGCACCGGGATCGGTGCCCGCTGAAAACGTCTACGGTAAAACGTGATTCGATCGCGTACACGCCCTTAACCGTACACGGTTTACTGCTCGTAATCAAAACACCATAAACATAACGAAAACAGTAAAAATCACGTTAAGATAATAATTATAATACGAGTGTATTACAAATGTGCGCGCGCAACGTCCCGATACATTTGTTGGTTTACATTCATAGTCCGCGTAAAGCGTTAATCGAACATTGTCGTTAATTATTCGTTGTCTTTTAGGCGCACGCGTTTGGTACACATAGAAGTCGCATTTCGAACGCATCGAACGAACTGATTAGTCGGTATCGTAAAAAAAGAAAAGAAATTTTTTTAAATAAAAACGGCCGTTGTACGGAGGGATTTGCGCGTGTTAAACTAATATGGTTTTAATAGTGCATTAACTGCAATAGGATATTTACAATCAGAATACGGTGATTTTCCACCCGCGCGCGGCGCGCGCACACGCACACACACACACACACCTAGTTTCGCAGTGATTTCCTTTTACACGACCAATGATCCTTTTTAATATCACCGTCTTCGAAGCATTAAAACGTTGTTATCGTTCGTACGAAACAAATCGACCACCCCTTGTTCCTTCCTTCGCCGAGGAACAGATTCACGTACGCCATTCTTTAATATGTTCATCCCGTTTTCGTTCCCGGTTAATACGTTTTTATTCGTGTAATTTCGTCCGCTTAAACTATCCGGCTGGCTAATTTATCAATGTTCGTTTTTCTCTCTCTCTCTCTCTCTCTCTCTCTCAGGAGAGAAACAATTACCTACAACGTCCGTGTATTGATTTTGTACGCGCGTCACGCACGTTTATGCAGCTGTCCGTCGTCTGGCCGAGTCGAAAATCTAAATCACTCGGGAGGTCACTACCGCCGAAGCATAGATCTCTCCGCCGTGCGGTGAAAACACAGCGCCGCTATTGCTTTTCACACTCACTTCCTCGCTTGTCGGCTGTCTCGGTCGTGTCCGTACGCTTCACCACGTTACTGCCACTGCTGGTAGACATTTTACACGGGTACGGTATATCGCTAAAGGCGTTCCGCTGAACGGTTTTCGGTAATCGATCGATTTCCCCCCGGTATTCCACGTAATTCTGGCGAGTCGTTGTAGTCCGTAGTCTTACTCGGATTAATGAAAATTAAAAAAAAAAAAAAACAAAAAAAAAAAAAAAAAACCAAAAAAAAAAAAAAAAAACCACCAAAAAAACAAAAAAAATACCATAAACATTAGAGCTTATAATACTATTAATGTACTACCCTTACTTGTTTGTTTCATTACTATCTTACAATTATATCTGTATACTATTTAGTTTGGAAATACCGATTACGATTAATATAATGTGTATGTATGGTAGTATTGTGTACACAGTACACCGCATATACCTGTATATTATTATTGTGTATTTGTTTTAATTATTCATCGCCTATATTATGTAGAGTAGTCGCACGACGTATATTACGAGTATAATCCAAGTCAACGCTCGGAATATTTTAAGTACCTATTTTAAGTCATTATCATTACCCTACTATTTTAAGTATAAACTTCTTATGTGAGTGTTTTTATTTGGCATCATTATTATGAATATAATACCAATTTACATCTATACAGGCTCTCCAAACGTCTTCAAACGTAAATCTGGCCCGCGGAGAAAAATATCAACACATACGCCCATGTAGGTTAGCGCCTACGTGTTCTCGGATACGGGCGAACAACAGACCATGTTATGATTCCTTATTGTCATTTTCTCGGCCATTTTCATTGTTGATCAACGCGATGACGCTGCACCATGTTTGGATCTTTCGATATCGACAACTTTTGATACCAAAATTTGATAAAGGATATTTTTATATAAAAAAAAAAAACTCACGATGAAGGCCAAATGTCAATGTCAGTATTTAAATCCGAGATGTTCCGGAAACAGTAATCGGGCATAACTAAACGTTTTTCGGTCGGTCAAGTACTACGAATGTATTAATAGAAACACCTATTAATCCTCGAAGTCCAGTAAAAAATGTGAGACTTTGGAACGCCCTGTATAGATTATTACTTTAAACTATTAGCACTAAACTAAGTTATTCGAATACATTTTTACCAGAATGTAATTTTATAGTTACTTTTAAGCAGTTAACCTTTTTAACATTATAGGATTTGTTTTATTTAATAATATTTAAAGTTTCTATTTTTGTTCCTTTTTTTTTATTTATTGATTTTTTTTTTTTTTTTTTTTTTTTTTTTTTTTTTTTTTTTTTTTTTTGTTGATGTTTATTTTTGACGTATAATTTCCTAATATAACGAGTGCCGGTCTATCATGAGTTTATGGAAAGACTTAATGTCTGTCTTCGTTTCGAGTAAACATTCATGAATCGCTTCGCAAATAAATTTGAACGCATTGATGTCCGATCCATATCGAAAACGAAATCATTCAACTCATCCAACTGTACATTTAATTTATTAACACTAAAATTGGATACGATGTTTTTAATTTTCCTAACCATTGTTTATTGGTTAAAATCTTGCACGTTTCGATTCAACATCAAATCATTTTTGAGTAATCACTGTTTAAGAAAATAAAAATTCAACACACTTTCTTTCGTCACCTACTCTGAACGACAGGCGGACATTACTATATAATATAAAAACTTAATATTTTTTTTTTTTTTTATATACGATTATTTTATGAACTCCCTCCCCCTGTATGCATTAAAAACGTTGTTATACGTTGTACTACCAATTTAACTTATAATTACAATATATTTTTTGTAACATAATATAAAAATGTAAGAAAATGTTGTATTAAGTTTTTACATCGATTCTTTGGATATTATTATGGAAAGTAAACGATTATTTTTCATTTTAAATATAAGGAAAAACTTAAAAACAGACAATCAGAATTATATTGAAATTTTAATTTGATCTTAACCCACTCACTACGATTGTTTAAATCTAAACAGACTCAATAATAATTTCGTATCATAATAGGATTTTTTTTTTTTTTTAGTTTATAACTCGTTAAAATAAAATATGCAGCATAAATACATACTCTATACATATTAATAATATATTACTTATATAATATTCTATCTATTTAAAACTTAAATGAAATACATCTTACTTATTATTCCGTAACATATTTGTAATATGCACAACACATACACACACATACAGACATACACATACATACACCTATAAACCCACACACACACACACACACACACACACACACACACACACACACACACACATACACACACACACACAAATATATATATATATAAATTTATATATTAACATATACATGTATATAATATACATATATATTTGTATATGTATGTATAATCGCTAATTGTAAGCTTATTTATATATATTTTTTTTTAAGATAGTTTTTTTTTTTTTAACTTCATTATGATTTTCGTGATATTTTTTTACTATAGTTAGATAAGAAATGTTTGTTATTGATGTGCCTATTTATTTTTAGTGATTATTATTATTATTATTATTATTATTATTATTATTATTATCATTATTATTATTATTATTATTATTATATATATTTTTTTTTTTTTTTTGATTATTGAGAATTCTAAAATTCAATGACAAATTTAAAAGATCATAACATTTATTATTGGTGTATATTTAAGACAAAATAAAAACATATTTACATTCTAAAAATATTTATGGTTTTTTTTTTATTGAAATCTGTCAGCATCCAATATATATAAGTATTCACTATGAGATGTATTCTTCATAGTACCTAACTATCCGTACTGTATTATGAACTAGTAAAAATGTTAACTATAGAATATAATAATTCAATTAAACGTTATAAGCAGCATACCTTTACGTAATAAACTATAA